GGCAGTAGGAAATTGTGCTTGGAAAGTCTAGTGCCTCTGCAAAATCTTTGCTTTGCATGCAGCTCCATTTCCTACCCATTTATTTGGAGTCTAAACTAATAATCAAGAAACAAATGCATTTCTTATTTTATATTTTTTTTTTCCCCCCAGATTTCAGAAACACTGATCCAGAAACTGAACCAAAACCTGGTCCATTTTGAGTTGAAGCCAGGTGTTCAAATCCTTGTCCATGCTGCCCATTTAACAGCAGGTCAGTATCCTTTTTCTGTGTACACCCTTTCTGTTGCTCTGTAGCACAGCAAGCCATATATTCCTTGGTGGTAGTAGTGTGCTAATAGCTCAATTTAAAACATGTCTTATTGTCATGTCACAATAACTCAGTGTATGGGCAGACATTAAAATGCCTGCTCTACCTCCCCTTTCTTTATCATGCTAAAAAGATACAGTCTTTTGCATTTACAGCTAATACTTTTGTTTACTTACGTGCAAGAATTTGCTGTTGTTGTTGGAAATGCAGTATAAGCAGCAGTAGAAATGTGTACTTATTGGCTGTCTCTGAAATATTCAACAGCTAAGCAGCACCATGGTGTATTCAGCTTAATCACACAGTGCAAAGGTTACCAGCTAACCTATTCAGATATTCTAGAGTCAACAAACATTCAAAGCAACTAAGAACATTTCAGAAGTTGTTCAGCAGTCTGAAAGACTAGAATCAATTTACATATCCGCAAGTATGAGATAGGAAATTTGGACTTTAACTAATCCTATCTCAAAATGAACCATCTCCAAAATCCTGATATTTAATTAGTGTCTCTGTGTATTCTATATGCTAAGCCTTCATTTCACAGCACAGGCCCTATTTAACTGTTACAAGAGATGAGACAAATCCATGCCCAGGATTCTTAGGAATTCCTTTCCTTCAGGAGCTACTGATAGTTCTGATCCGTTAGTATGAGCTTCTTTTGATAACCTGTAAACTAAAAGCCTCAGTTCACTTGTACCAGCAAACTGCTTTCCAAAAACCTTTTTGTGATATGAAGAAGTCTACCCAAGCTGGTGTGAGTTCATGTGCTGCCTTGTCCAAAAAGGGAAAAGAGACTGTTACAAAAGAGTGTAATGCAACTGCATTTAAATCCCCCTAGAAGAAAGCTTTGGTGTTTGCAATATTTCATTTTTCCTAAGCAGAACTTGCTGGTATCTGCCCTGGGAATATTGTTGTGTTTTTCTGCTTTCCATTAGCTGTGGGACAGATGATCAGATGCTTTTACACATATTAGAACCAAAAGCGTGAAAAAGCAGAGATGTAGCACAACTGAGTAATCTCCAAAGGAAACAAAAAAACACAACCACAAGACAAGTCAGTTTGTTTGATTTCTTTTTTTCTCCTGTACATTGTAAAAAAAATGTAATAGGTATATGACACAGAAGAATTGCATGACTTTGCATTTTAAATTTAAATTCATATACATTTTACATAATACTTATTAGAGAAGCAATACTTGGCTGAATTTTTAGTGATGACTGATGATACATGTACTTTCAGAAAATGCTCCATGCCCATCTCTTAAAAGAAATGTATCTGAAAGAATCTTAATGGAAGCATCAAACATGGAATTACCTGCAATTCTTCATCATTTTTGAATTTTTTTAATGGGCATTTACTCTGCCAATGCACATGGTTGTTTTCTGTTTTGGTCAGTATTCATTAAAGTCATGATCAAATCACAAATGAACATTTAGATATGACTACTCTGGCCCTGAATATCCTGTAGGCCTTTTCTACAAAATTTTATTTAGAAAGAATCACATTAGATATTCCTGGGAATACCTCTTGCCACTGAGGGGCATTCCTGATTTCATGTAGTAGAAACAGGTAACACTTCAAATCACATATCTAGCACTGCCTTTAATACAAGATAAATCTGGATCCAAGTTTTGTGCTCTGTGTAGGAGCCTCCCGCAGCTTCTTGTAGAGGACTTCTGGGCATCTCTGAGTGAGGGAGTGCACAGGGACCTCAGCTGATCTGTCCATGCTCAGAGCTAGCTAAAAGCTGGGTAGCTCCAGTCCCAAAGCCAGATGGTGGAAGTACTGTGGCACTTTTCTGGGCTACTGAACCTTTTCTGCTGCCCTGAATGAACCAAAAGGCAGGATCTACCAGTGTGACATACTGCCATGCTGCATAAGAGTATTGCCCCTGGGCGTGTGCTGGCCTGTTTCTTGATAGCTCAGGCTGAGGCAGAGGATGCTCTGCTCAGACCTGCTGTGTAAATACATGATAATTGTGGCTTCTGAAAACACATCTTTTTATGTGTGTTTACACACACGCCAGGAATGAGTACTTTTTGTCCATAATAGGTCCACTTGTTTGTCCTGCAAGGTAAGCTTTGTTGTACTTCTCTTCAAAGCTAGTAGTGAGATGTGAGTGATTGCTATAACTGGCTTTACAATGTCCTATTGGAACGCTACAGGATTTTGTCCCTTGCAGAAATATGATTCAGTAAGAATGCAAAATGAGTGTGGACTGCTAGACAAGATATTAAAATACTCAGAGGGCAGCCACTGGGAGGTCTTTGAGAGAATATGGCTCCTTACCAAGCTGCAGAGATCATCAGTCAGTTCCCTGTCTAAACAAAAGGCCCAATTTAAGGACATCAAAATTTGGGAATGGTTTAGAATTTGATAAAATGCAAAAAGAAATATTTACTTCACTGATGAATACTGTTGTTTTGATTGTCAAGGAAGAAGGAGAATTGTCATTTTGAAATCTAAGGTTTTATTAACAAAAAAAACAAAAAAACAAAAAACAAAGCAGGGTAACCTGGAACACAGGCCAGCACAGGAGTGAACATGGCCCAGAGGTGCTGCTCTGGTCCACGGTACCCCCCTGCTTTCCTGGCCTTTTCACTAGGACTGTGCGGGACTTCGGGCAGCTATGAGCTCTGGTTGATTGAACCACAAAACATATACATATACCTGCCTTTATGTTCCCCTGCCTTAGTGCATGTGTGTATTCCTCCTTGTGTGCGTGCCTGGTCATGCACAGCAGCAATTTCTGCAGCTCCTCTGCTTCAGGGAGCAAAAGTGCAGATATTTAAACTAGTTTGGTGTGAATATTCAAGCAGAACTTGTAGAAATGAGCCTCTGTGTGTGTTGTACATGAGCACGTACCTTTTCTGGAGCACAGAAGAATGACAGGTGTTGGCCTCAGCACATTTCACACCTCTGTCTTCTTTATTCAAGCCACACTGGAGGAAGGATAATTTATGGCAATTATGGACAACGGATTGCAAACCATTCATCATGTTCATTGCTTATGCTCATGAAAAAAAAAAAAAAAAGAAGCCAAACACACAAAAAAACCCCACCACCAAAACAGTGTGCCCAGCCCAACAGACAGCAACCTTAACTCCAAGGCACAGTGAAATACGCCAATATTCCTCAATAAAGCACTTAAATAGCTGTTTATTACCAGACTCTCAGCACAGCATTATAACAAGAACATTGAGTGATGCTGAGCCTGAATCAGTTAGAGAGCCACTTTGTCATCCCACAGAACTGCAGAGACCCACAAAATACAGACAAAAAAGGGAACAGAGTGGAGATGTGTGAGGCATTCATAATAACAAATCATTTCACCCTAGTGCCTCACCTCCCTGAGGACAGCCTGTTTGATGTGGGAAGACATTTTTTCACTTCTCTTTGTAAATTTTGTCATGTGTACATGTGATGTGTGTGCCTGAGTAAATATTTTCTTGTGTGTGTATGTTTTGTTGTGTCTCCTGGCTCTGACTTTGGATGGGTCTGTTCAGTGCATTTGAAGAGGGGCAAGAGAAGGAGGATTTGTATGCCAGTGGCTCCAGGGTAACTTTCACTGCCTTGCAGAGGAGGGCACTACCCACACCTTGTTCTGTGTGTAATGCCAGATAGAGCCAGTCAGTGAGGATGTATCTGCTCTGTGCACTAGCTCTGTGCAATGGCACAGCTACAGCTGTATGTCTGTCTATAGTATGTTTCATTGGTGTCTGCATGAACAGCTGAGGCTACTGGACATAAGTGTGTCCCTTTCTGGACACTAGATGCCTTTCTGTTTCTGTGTATGTGCATATGAGTGATGGAAACTCTGTTTAATACAGTTTGCTTTGTATTTCTGGGAAAGCCATGCTTCTGGCTGTTTTATGTGGCCTTATTTGCAAGGAGCTATGAAAAAGTGTTGAGCAAAGCCAACAAGAAGCACAGAGAAACTTTTTGCTTGATTATGGTTGGGTTTGTTTTTTGTTTTTTTTTTTTTTTTCCTTGAACCTGTGCACTCACTCGTATGGAAGACTTGTGGGAAAGAGCAGAACACCAAGGGAAAGAGAATAGAACATGTTCAGAAGAGTAGGAGAGAGATAAAGGAAGAGACTGAAAATGTCAGAGGTGTGAGAAGAGCTGTTCTGACAAGGCATGGATGCTAAGGCAGGGTCCACAAAGGGCACCACACTTCTGGTCATGAAGGACCAGGACTGAACAGAGAACAGTACATTTGGTGAGCATTATAGCTACAGAAAATCTGAGGAGCTACTTCTCATTATTCACTATTTATTGGGAGCTACCTAACTAGCTCTAAGCAAAATAGAAAGTCAACATGACAAGGTAGGCTGTAAGTAGCTCCAGGATCATCCAGAAAATGCCAGGTTTGGTACCCAAGTGACCTTATTTATGAATGTCTTAGGTAACTGTCTGCAGTATGGGAGAGTATGTTTCAGGCAGTTCTCTAACAGGCCAGAGAAGAGAGGCCTCTAAGGAGAAAGCTATGGGACTTCACACCAAGGGGTAGACTGAGCATCACAAGTGGTCTGAACCCAGGTTTCTTCACAGGTGCGTTAGAAAGGCAGGGAAGTCCTGGAGATGTGTGGAGGCAGATGAGGCCTGCTACAATTGCAATAAGGGGAGAATGAACTATGTTTCTGGAGGGAGCAACTTTCACTCTAGGCTCTAACCTTCTGCCCCTTTCTTGCAGCTCCCCTGGTGGACCTCACTCCCAGTCACAGTGGTTCAGCTATGCTGATGCTCCTCTCTGTCGTTTTTGTGGGATTAGCTGTGTTTGTTATTTACAAGTTCAAAAGGTATGACCATCCCTGAGCCATTTCCCCATTGCTGTCTTTCACTGATGTGTTTGGGTTTTGGTTTGCTGGGTTTTCTTTTTTTGCAGTGATTTTTTTCTTGGTTTGTAAAAGCTGATACTGCAACATCTGCCAGAGTACCCCACAATGATGGTTTCTGTTAATGTTTTAGGAAGATTCCTGGTCTTAATATATATGCACAGATGCAGAATGAAAAAGATCAAGAGATGGTCAGTCCAGTCAGTCAGAGGGAAAGCATACCTAATGTCCCTCAAAGTGAGCTGATGAGCCCTGAGCAACTAGTAGATGAGAAGTTGGAAGTCCAGCCCATAGGTAAATAACTTGCAGCATCCCACAGCTGGTCAGACTCTGACTTAGAATTGGCTAACCCTTTCCTCAGCCTCCTCCCTTCCCATACTCCTGCACACTCCTCCTCCCATCCTTTTCTGCTGCAGCATTAGTTTTGCTACAGAAAACTTCGCTAACTCTTCCCTCTCCCTCACTACCATGTGGTGAAACAGAGGGCAACAACTTTAGGCTTTTTCTCTCTCCTAGTTGCTCTGTGTAGATCCCCTCTCCTTCTCAAAAATCCTGTCAGCATTTAACTTGCGCTATAAGGCAATTTAATTTATTTTGCTGAGGCTGATGTAGTTGTGAGGCTAAACCCCACATCCAGGAGAACTTCAGCCACCTTCACCTGGAACATGGAGGTGGGCAGGTGATTCGGTAAGTCAGACCTAAGAGCTAAATATTCGTTGACGTTTTGACTGCGGTGGCCTTTGTGCTGTGTTAGACCTTGTTGCCAGCAGCAGTGTTAGCCTGGCTGATTCCCAGGGAAATGGAGCAAAAGCTGGGATCTCAGCACTGGACAGCTGGGTTGCCCTCAGGCTTATTTCTCTCACAGGCCTCTGTGATTCCAAATTGGCAAAGCAGGATTTCATAGGACCTGAAGTGAATAGACTTGGAGTGGGCATACCGATAGCAGTCAGGCTCATGCTTCTGTGTTTTCTGTTACCCTGGCTACAGTAAAAGCATTGGGATAGAACAGGGAGATTCCAGCCTGGGGACATCTTCTGCTAAAGCCAGCACTGCTTGGGCATTGCTTGGGCATTGCTTGGGCATTGCTCAGCTTCACTTGTGAGGTGATAATTCTGCAGACCCAGACTGGAGGTACAGTACAGGACCCCTGCAAATAAGGACACGGACCTGTTTTAGAGGAATTAATTAAATGAAAAATTATAATTAAATTTATAGCTCCTTTGACTTAAACAGGAGTGAAGTGTAGTTGTAACTGAGATCCCAGGTTTTGCACAATTTTGTCAGCTTTAACCAAACCTTAGATCCCACCTGAGGATGTTCCTAAAATGTACAGGAGTATTTGCTAAAGCAGGCCTCTCTGCATAGCTACTGCAGAGAGGGAGCAAGGGGAAGGGCAATTAAAAGAGGGAATGTGATGTGCTAAGATTGTGGCCTGTGAAGCAACCTAGGAAGAAAAAGAAGAAAGTCTCTTGATGAAGCTCATGTCTAAGCTGGAAGCCCCACTGCAGGCAATACCGACCTCTCCTCACCTGTTCACTGAGGAGAGATCTGTTAGATATTGAAACCTTTTAAGCAGCTATTCATCAGCAGACCTGGACATCCCTGCTTAGCAGAACACAGGATGGAGTGAGGGGACCAACTTTCCCATGTGGTGTTCCCCATACAGAGCAACCCCAGGCCACAGTCCAGAACCCAAGGAAAGGAAATGCAGCCAAGGTAGTCTGGACAGAGGACTCCCAAAAGGCTTGTGGATCACCAAGAGGTTTCAAGCCAAGACCCGGAGCGGTGGGTCCTAAATTTTAACAATACTTTTTGTCTTTTTGTTTTTTGTTTTTTTTTTTTAACCCCCCAGATGCCCCCAGGGAAAAATTATGTAAGATGGTGAGGGAGAAACACCCAATTTCAGGTCAGAAACTCTCTTTCTACTCTTTCTAGAGTTAGATGGGCTTTGAGTTTCCCCTTTGTAAAAGAATGTAATGACCATGGTTCATTCTGTTCCAGGGGTAGGGGAAACATTTTTTCACATATTACTCAGACTGAAACAGCAAGTCAGTCACTCTCTGGGTCTACTCAAGGTACCTTCAAAAGTGCTCTTGCTCGTGTTGAAAACTAAGCCCTCGAAACCTCTAGGATAAGAGTAGTTAAAAGACAATTTTGGGGTGAGGTTTTCATTTGGTGGAACTATCGCATTTCTGTCTTTCTACAATAGTAAGCTTTTTGTGTGTTTCTCAGCTGTGTACTGGACACTATTGAACTAGAAATTGGCCTTTTAGAACTCTTTGGTTTGCACCTGTAAGTGCGCTAGCAAGCACAAAAGGTAAATATATGGGATACATAGACTTAATTGTCTATCAAAAGGAATCAGTCCAACAAACTTTTGAAGAGTGTTTTTCTATCTTGTCAGTAAGATGAATGAGGGAACTGAATCAGAGCTCATTGACAAAATGAGGAGGTCTGGACCTAGGTGTGAACAGTGCAAATGCTCTTCACTTTCCTATACAACCATCTTATCTGTTTCTGGAAATCAGCAATTTTTGTTTTAATGAGTTTTCTGTCTCTTGGGAAAACAAAGAAAGACTGTAATTGGGTGTTTCTCTTTTGTATGTTTGTTCAGAAGCCAGGTTTTTTCAAACCCTTTGACTAATGTTCCAGGATCCTTCCTTGGATTAATCAGAATGAATGTCCCCAAATCATTTAATTTTTTCTTCAAACTCTGGTAGAAAAAAAACCCTACAGTTCTTATTTTCTGGATGTGAATGGTTTAAGCTCTTATTTTGCAAATGCAGAGCTTAAGGTTATTTATTAAATCTCCAGTCATTGCAAATAAATTACACATTTCCTCTGAGGACCTCAGCCCCTCCTTCCCTCCATCCCTCTGCTCTGGCCTCTCCCTCTTCTGTTCAACATGAACAAATCATCTTCATTAGCAAAAGAACAGAACATCACCTTCAGTGTTTTGAATGACAAGAAACATTTCTGGGAAGAACCTGTCAGTGTGGAACAGCTGAATCCCAAAGGCCAGCAAGGTGATGCATTCAAACATCTCCCTTAGTTAATCACACTTGTTATTTACTAACTCTTTTATTTTGTTCTTTCTTTGCAACAGGAAGTATTTCCACAGCTGCTGAGCCCCAGAGCACAAAAGAAATCCCTACCTATGTAAATGGTTGAATAGAGGACACCAATATATATCTGTATCAAACGGGGGGAAAAAAAAAAAAAAAAAAAAAAAAAAAAAAGAGAGCTCACTGCATTTGGACTTTTTAATTCTTCAGATGACAAAGGGTTTTTAGCTTTAAGCCTGTGCATGTGGACATTATACTGAGACCATAGTGGAACTGCATTGTACAGGTGTTCTATTTTAGTGGGGGTGGGGGGGGAGAGGAACTGGTACCACTATTCACTCCTGTGGCCCTTCCCCTCACCCCTCCGCTCTCTTTTTTTCTGATCTGTCTCTAATTTGTAGAAAATTCATAATGACATAGGCCAAGGATATGCATGGGGGTCTCTTCTTTAGGGAGAGGGCTGGGCTGGGATGTGGGGGGGAGAAGGGCTGGGGGAGGTGGGTGGGGGCATTTAGGGTTCTTGGCTTTAGATTTAACTACTCTTTTAGCACTTTGGGCTGTGGGAGGGCTAGCCACCCCAGCAGACTTTCATAGGACACAAAAAAAATCACACTGGATTTTAAAGGCACTGAAAATACTCTTGGTCAGTCTGGTTTATGTCTTTGTTTGAACTCTGCCCTTCATTCCTCTACCTGCAACTGCTGTCTGTGTCCCATGGCTGTGAGGAGGCTGAGTGTGGATGACCCCAACCACAAGGCCAGGCTCTTTCTTAAACAGCTTTTGTAGCCTACTCACACCAAGGCATCCCATGATTGAAAGCTGGCTTTCTGCCTCCTGACCTTGGACAGAACAGAACTAGCATTATAGGCAGGGAGGTCTGTTGGTACTGCAGTTGCAGGAGGTTATTGCCAGCATGAACGTAGACTTTGTACCAGCCTTACACCTTCAATTTGGGCTGAAAGTCCTAGTTGCACCCTCCGCTGCATTTAGTGCTGATGTTTGGATTTGTCTGAGGAGGTTCCAGATCTCTGCCTTTTGAGAGTAGCCTGAAGGACTATAGATTTTTTTGAAAGACACCTTGTCCATAGAGTAGGGAGCAGGGAAAAGTCGATGTGCTTTCTTAGCAGAGCACGTTGGTTACAGACCTGCAAACTACTGCCACTCTGGGCAGAGGTGGGAGAATAAAGGAGGATTTGGCCTGAGAGTGTTGTCAGGCAGTTTGAGCCCCAGCACCACAAAATCACTGTAGTACGAGATAGAAGCTTGTGTCTTACACTGCAACTAGGAATGAGGCCGCAGGACATGTTCATGTTGACTGTGCAAGGGAACAGCAGGAAAGCAGGCTTAGCATACCTTGAACAAGTCCTCCCAGGACACTGTATGTCTGGCTGAAGCCTAACCTCTGGTCATCACACCTATTGATTTCCAACCCAACTCAGGTAAACCTAGCACCAGGATTTTGGTTTGAAGTGCAAATGGAGAAAGATAATAGCAAATATGCACTTACTTAACTATGTTAGGTGAAGGCAAATAGATGCCAGTTCACAATCAGCATGAGGCACTTAGGAGGCACCCTGATTCCTGGCGTGAGTGAGTTTCGTTCAATACACATTACACATGGCAACCTGAGTCAAACACAGGAGAAAACAGCATTGTTCTTCTTGCCCAGAGTCCTGGGGTGGTGGTTTGGCGGTGATGGTGGTTTTGAGTTTGTCACAAAACGGGCCTAAGCACAAATCAGCCTACTTTCTAGCAGAGAAAAAATGTGATACCAGGTCTAAGAACATTAGACCCATAGTAGTCAAAGGATAATCACAACACAGAGCTCTATGCCTCTTTCTGTAGTTTCTCTGTAGACTGAGAGAAGCACAGCTCTTTGTATGGGTTCGCCATTCTCATTGCAACTACAGCTTTAAGAAAGATGGGAAAGTTTTGGCAGCAACTGTATAATACTCCCCACTGAAGTCCAACATTAGCCCACTTATTTTTATAGTAAGATGATCAAAAAGTTTTCTTAGAGTGTTGGAACTATTTCTAATTTTAAAATTACTTTTTTTGATGTAGTTTTTCATCTACTTTTCCCCTTTCGTTAAATACAATGTAGCGTAATGTATAATTGCTATTGTTTATTGCTTTTACAGTCATATTTATTAAACAGATTGTCTCTAAATGAAGGCCTGTGTTTTTGTTGCTCATTGTAGCTCTCTGTCCCTGACTGCAATCACTAACAACATTAAAACATTAGGAAGATGGTACCTTCAAAAAGAAAGGGGTATTCAGCAGAAGTGAGAGACCATGGTGATAGTGTATAAAAAGTCAGTCTTGGTATTATTATCTCCATTTTGCAGATGCAGAATGCAGAGGTGCAATGTTGGCTTTCTGGTTTCCAAACAGTCAATGATAGAGCTCCAGTCAGCTCCCAAATACTCCAGCTCTGTTCCCTGCCCATGGTTATCCTTGCCCATACAGACTTTCTGTTAAAGGTTCTTTTAAAATATCTTTTTGTCTACCTTTTTGCTGATATTGATGAAGGAAGGTCTAAATTATTCACATCACTGTTTAATCAGTTTTTAACTGATGTAAAAACAGGTACCTTTCTGTGAAGAAATTAAACATAGGAAGTTCCTGTCAGCTTGCCAGATGACAGTGGATGGATGTTGCTCAGAAAACAAAACAAAACAAGATACAGCTCCTCTGCTTTTCAACTTGGGAAACAACCATTGGAGTGTTCTGCCTCTTATAACTGACTTCAGGTTCATTTCTCTAGCCTGGCATAAGAATTTATATATGCATATAAACTGTCAAAGATCTGGGGCTCAGACATTGTTCGCAACCAAGGTATCACATGTCAAGTCCAGGAATTATGATTTTGCTTTTTGGCAGAGTGTATAGTTTTCACACCCTGGGATTATATCACAATATAATTACAATTACCAGCCTAAAACGTTAAAGTGGTCGCCAAATCCTTTTTTCACCTTCCATACAGGATGGATGTATGGCTGGCACAGCCATGGCCACAGTGCAGGTGACTCTGAGACATGTGTGTAGACATAATTTATAATTTATGTGATTTATATTATTATATAAATGATTTTATAATATAAATGCCTACCTGAATTAGCAGGCGTCTGTTCTGGCCATAAACAGCAAGTCTAGTTTTGGCAAGCATTTCTAAAGCATTTTCAGAGCATTCTCTTCAGTTTATTGTGTGTCCTGAGGCAGAGACTGTTATTTGTAGTTGTTGTTTTCTGGTTTGTATAACAACACAACGATTCACTGCTAATGGCTGAACACTGAGGCAATAAACAAAAAACTTACCAAACACTTATAAAATGCAATACGATTGTTCTATGAAGAAAATGAATATTCTCTCTATCATACCTTGAGAGAATAAAATAAGTTCATCATCCTTTATCAGGCTGTGGAGTTAAACTATGGTTAAAAACCCAAATAAAGTATTTCTTAATTTGATGTTGATTCTCTTCCATCATCTTAACTGCCACTAAACACTCATAAGGATGGGACAGACACTGAGTTCACATGGCAAAATATTTGGCCTAAGATACTGGATTGCCTTTCCTGGAAGTCAGCAGGTATTAGAGTTTAAATACTCTTGAGGATCTGGGCCTCAAACAATTGTTTGCTGTTAATATATGGCTATGTTTTATTTCTTAAGCCTTTGCTGGAAATCAAGACTTAAAGCACATGCTGAAATGCTTATGCAAATGAAGCAGGAATTTGCAGTGACCCTAAATGAACCCTGTCTTGGTCGTGTCAATGTCTGCTGAGAATTTCTGACAGTTGCACTTAGTCTGGTACCTAGAGCTGATAACAAGGGATTGGTATTTTATCTGTGTGCTGTCATCTCTCATTGAATGCATGGAAAGTTTCCATGCCACATTATATCTCTAGGTACATTCAGTGTTTTAAACATTGCCCCTGGTTGCAGAGCTACCATGTTAATGATGTTAAAAAAGAAAACTTTATTTTCCTTCAGTTAATGAAATGTTCTCCTTACATTTTTCCATGAAACAGAATAATAAAGCATGTGAATAAATAATACTTGAGCTAGAAGAGATCCTTTTAGTTTAGAGGGTTGTTATTATCCTGGCCGTAATGCCCAGAAAAAAAGACTGAAGTCAAATTGTTTTCTAATTGATAAGATCAAAGTGCTATCATATACCAAGTCACAGTTTTAACTTTAGCTGTTTCTTTTTCCTTATTTCCTTCTGGGTAATAATGTCTATTGATTTCTGTTTTACTGTTCCTTGTGCTGAAAGTGGGACATAAAGGAAACCTGCTCTGTGTTTCTCAGTGTGAGAATTTCAAGATGTCTTCCTTGTTTGCATTGTTGTACAGTCCCCCCAGTGCTATGTTATATGGACTTTGGCAATAGAGGTGATGTTGTAACAGGGTAAAATGAACAACAACAAAAGGTAACAGTTTTCTCACCACCACTGTACTGCAGATTTAGTCTCACGTTGCAATGGGTCACTTCGACAAATGGACCTTGACCAGACTATCTCTACATGAAAAAAATTGCTACTGTGTATGAGAGTTCTGAATGAGATGTTCAGCCCAACATCTAACAACAGCCCACCTCAATATAGGATTAATGATTAAGTCCTAGGAGGCAAAGAGAAGCATGGGAGACCAGCTGGCATTCACGGGCAGTAGCCCAACGCTGTTCTGGCTGTGCAGAGGCTTGCTTTCTGCTGGGACAAGTTAGAGAGGTTTGAAGTTTGTGCTAATTATGTTGTTTTCTCTAGGAATTGTATGAGCCTTTGTTAGGAGCATAGCATGACTAAAATACATGCAGTCAAATATCTAAACTTGACTGTAAGTGCTTAAGAGAGTGGGGTCATGCTTGTGTTTGTGTAATGACCTCTCACCAAGCTGTAATAGCCCAGCCATGTGTGAGTAGAATAGGAGCCAGACAATTGTTGGATTTCCTCGACTTTGAGGCTGTACACATCAAGCCATTGTGGACAGAAGTATCACTAACAGTAGCCAGGATGTTCCTTACATTGTGCTTCATATTCAAATTAATTATATAGAAGGATCCCAACCACAATCATTTGTCTGACGTGTGAGGTGCTGTATTCACTAAACTGCAGAGAAAATAAGCTACAGTCCTGAAGTTTTGTAGGTTTTATAATCTTTTGTGGAAAAGCCTTGAGAGACAAAGGTGCAAGAGAAGAAATTTAGCAAACCTATTGAGAGAAGAGTCACAATTGCCTGCCTTGGATACAAGATGTATGCAAGAAAATCTCTCCCTTTTTGTAACAAAATCCTCCTCCAGCCTTCCCTAGAGAAAGCTGGATATGGTGTTTCTGGGACTGAAACTACCCTGGCAAATAATTGCTCCCCAGCCTGAAAGCGTGGGCCACTGGTCCCATGGACTGTGGCATTCCTTCTCATGC